GTCAAGAGGAATCCGCCGTCGTCTTCTGGTGGAACCGATCTTCGAATCTCTTCACCCAACACTTTCCCTCCAAATGGAAGTAAGCTCAGCAATTATGAAACAAGAGATTCCTCGAAACCCAACTTACAACCAAATTCAAGCTAACGAGTCAAGAAAACTCTCCGGAAAATCCCTAAAAAGCGGTTTATATACTCTACATCTGGCCTCTTTGATCAGGAATAAATTGATTTGGTTAGTTACGGTCATATGTCAACCTCGAAGCATGTGAGTGCGTCTGTATCTGTATGTGTATCTGCCTATTTGTGTTCACTTATGCACGAAACGAGCAATGATGGCTCAAAGTAATGAGGACAGCAAAAGTAACGTCTTGACTTCAGCTGGGGGTGTTGATAAGACACCCACAGTCCACATTGGATGAGAATACCTATGTGAACTTCATTGGAAAACATCAGCTCTATTCATATTATTGTGGGAGAATTCAACTACCGGCCGTCCATCACCTTAAACGTAATAGGGTGAGAGCATATCTTACATTCGTTTATTTTCGTGACTATCAGTAGATCTTGAACAATAACTTTAATAGACTTGAATCATTAAGACGTGATGAAGCACCGAAAGCGAATTTTCCCACAATCATATGATACCAATAATGTTTCCTTAGCTTTGCTTTCATGTAAACATCTTCAGCTGGGGTGCTTTGACGTTTCACCTCGCCTGGTCATTTTCTGCATCTCCAACGGGGATCGAAGTCGGTTAGTTTACCGCTATACAACACTGAAAACACGTGTTTGCTTCATCGACAATCTCACGCTCAAGGTGTAAAGTGTCGAGGCTTGATGTTCCCCGTGGCCCACTGGCATTCGTGGTAGTTTGTCTGGGTAGCAACATGCCGAGAAAATACGCTAAACCACCCGAGTTCGATTCCCGGCTGGAGATGATGATGAGACTCAGGCGAGGTCGAAACTGCAGTCCAGACAAGTTGAGATGGGAATATCTTTTGGGAAGAAGGGATAAAGAAAATTCAAGGGCATTATGAGATCTACTCAAAGGATTTTGGGAAAATTCACTGTCATTCCTTTCCTCCTTCAGCGAACAGAGAGCTCTTATTCAGGATGCGAATTTATACCCACCTAATTTCAGAAAGGGCATTCGGCATTAGCCATTTGTTGTCAAAGCGTACTTTACTGAATTGTGCAACCGAGACAGATTTTAGTGCCTAAATTAACTTTCAAGCATAATTTTTCGAAAAAAGAGAAGTTATCGAAGGTATGAAGACCAAGATGATGTGGCCTTTTGTGTGGTCACAGTCTTCTTTCGTAGTATAGAGGTTGTGTGACCTTGCTTTCGCAACATGGTCATATTGGTAGGAAGACTTAGAGGAATGCACTTAGTCCCGAGTCCATTGTATGCATGATCATTTCCAAAGTTGAACCGTGGACGTGGTACATTCCTAAACGTTTCGCCGGCATCGTAGTCGGTATCGTCAGTGAGTATCGCCATTCTTAGCACCACATAACAACTCGTCAAAGAGACAAGTGAGCCGATCCCTTGACCAAACGTGTGCTAAACAACAACTTTGGAAATGATCAATCAGACAATGGACTCCGGACTAGGTGCGTTTCTCTAAGTCTTCCTACCAAAGAGAAGTAATGTTTCATCGGGGATTCAACATCAAACAAAGCTAGAATCCCAACTCAAGGGCAATCCTCCTTAGGTTTCCTGAGAAGCCAGTTTACGAAAATCTTGATTCGTTTATGCAAACGAAATGATATGCACCACTAAATGTATTCTATGTCGACAATGCAGCATATCCTGGCAGTTTAGTGTTTTCATGTCGCAGCATGTACCACGTGTGGTGGGGTACTACAGGATACACACATAGGGCCCGTATAACTCAGGCAAAAATGTATCACTTGTTCGACTCGATAGTACAGTTTAGCTGGCTTTGAAAGTCTCACCCGCCTCATTTGATGAGTAGAAAAAGGTGAAATTTTATTACCAAGACGACATGGCCAAAGCGGAGTGAGGTCTTATAGTTCAGAGTGGAGACGAGGCGAAAAAAAGTTGACTTCTGTGCTGGCGAAGCATCTAGGAAAGATGGGCAAGTTATCACATGCATCCCACGAGTTTAAACGATGCTGGGCGTGATTTTCGGTTTGCCAAAGATGAGTTTAAGCGAAAACATGAAGATTTCGCAAATTTCACCATTCCATCTATTCTCTGGGCGTTTAATGTATGAAGTGTACTTACACTATTTCGTTTGAGGTGATAAGGGGACTGGTAATTGAATTTTTTCCAAAATTATATTCATAGACCTTATGTTTCACACTTTCGCAAAAAACTATTCAGATCCAGGGTCGACGGCAGTTTCAACCTTGCGATATCTACAGCGGGACTCGAACCATGGAACTGCAGCGTATAATCTCGACGTATTAGCTACTACACCACATTGCCCTTGACAGGGCAGATGTGAATTTTAAGGAAGGCCGGACATTTTTCCCATATCCCATTCTGTGGTGGAATTGCCAATGAAGCAAAGTTGTATTTGCCATAGCAATCGACTACGTTTATCATCGAAGATATGAAGAGCAAGATAGTGTGGCTCCGGATATGGTCGCAAGGTCAAGTTACGAAAAAAAGGTCAACCCACTTCTACATTTCTTATGTTTCGTTTTTATAAGTAGGTTGTCTTGAATACCAGTAGGTGGTTTATATATGAAATGAATTCACCCCATTTCGTTTAAAGTGATAATGGGACTAGTAATTTAATTTTTCCTCTTGGACACGTGTAAACCTTACATTTTCATCTAATTTCACATAGCCTTACACTTTCCAAAAATGTATATGCACTGTGGGTGTTTAATTTAAAATTGACTACACTTACGACCTCGCCTGTGTCTAATCGCTCCAACGGGAGGCGAATCCAGGTGGTGGGGTTCTACAAAAAGACATGTCACTGCTTCTTTCAGCAAACATCAGTGTCATCCGGCAGTACCATCAGGCGAACCCTCAATGTTGTGTTAAGCAGAAGTTGGGCGGTGTCGAAGGCTAGAGAGAACTTGAGATTTTGATCCAACTCTCATAACAAATGTTGTACAAAAACTGACTCTTCCCGAAGATTGGCCAAGACTGAAAGCCCAGGGAGGAAGGACATTTCGGTTTAGAAGATGTGGCTGACTGGGTGGTCCAAAGGTGGGCTATCATTCTGGGTCTAATTGACCCAGAGACTCATAAACAAAGGCTAGGAGGACGGCATTTGGGGGAATGTATGAATCGGAACATAGAAAAATAAATATTCATATTGACACATACATGGGCAATCAGAGGCAGCAACATGTACAAGGAAAGGCAGGTAGACATGCAAAAAGTATCGAGATGCATCAGTTTCTACTGGATGTTGTAGCCGACTAATATACATTCTGCCGACAACGAATTGATGAATTGGCCCGAGTTTTGTGCTGAACTCATAAACCAGATTCCTGGCAACCTACGTCGAGGGCACTCATACTTCCGTTGTCACAGCGACGAGAGAACACGAAGAAATTGTCTTTCTAAATAACTTTTATAAATGTCCCTCACGTGGAATGAGTGCAACGAGGCTAATTTGGAGATAATGTCTAACGGGCCAAGTAAACTGTCCGCGGGTGGAAATTGACATGATTTCTACGGCAGATGGAATAGGACTAGGAAAACTCGTAAGGGTCCTCTTGTCCACCTGAGCAAGTTGTGAAAACGAGGCCATACTAACTCAATGTCTGACTTGGTGTCTGATTGACCTCAAAAGGTGTACTTCATAATGCGTCCTCTGCCATGCTGAGGTGCGAAATTATTGTTGCGAACACGAGGTCAAGCCGATTTGATACAGAAAAAGAAAGCTGCGACTAAAAGAGGGAACATATCCTCTACTCATTCTCCTTCCCATCTCAGATTTGTTAAAGTAATTCATTCCAGTAGAAACGGAGAGGGAAGTTTCTACAAAGATATAACGAAAAAATGGATTTCGAAGCATGCCTGAATGATATATTGTGACATGACTCTGCATTTCTAAGGGAAAATTGGTGGTCTCACCGGAGACCTAAGGAGGATTGCCACGCAGGGAAGACTGTTGAATTGTGCGAATAAGTCCTCGGTACATCGCCCTGCGGCCCCGATAAAACTGTGCTAAGCTTTCGTCTGTACTCTGGCAGAGATCATAAGAACAAGAATCCATACTCTATGAAATAGAGCAAAAATACACTAAATCACCTTCGAAATAAAGGGTCATATCACAAGAATGTTCTTCCATTGTCGTCCGTGGTTTCAGGACCAACGGGCTGAATTGTCCACATTCGCTGAGGCTTACTGGTTGGAAGTCAACCGTGAGTCTTGCTCATATAGTAACAGGCTTTAAAGAGACAGAGTGAAGCAGAATTCATGAGCAATCACATCTTTCTGAATTTATGTACAAGTGTGTGTGTATAGAAGGGTGATCATACGAAACCAAAGTGATAGTTTTGAATGTCAGAACCTGCATACATTCACACACACACACACACACACACACACACACACACACACACACACACACACACTCACACACACACACACA